GTCCAACTCTCACATCCATACATGACTACTGGAAAAACCACAGCCTTGACTAGATGGACCTTTGTTGGCAAAGTAACGTCTCTGCTTTTAAATATGCTATCCAGGTTGGTCATAACTCTCCTTCCAAGGAGTAAGCATCTTTTAATTTCATAGCTGCAGTCACCATCTGCAGTGATTTTGGAGCCCCCCCAAAATAAAGTCTGATACTGTTTTCACTGTTTCCCCATCTATTTCCCATGAAGTGATGTACAAGTTAGCAAAAATTTTGAGAGCTTCATAAGGCATCCTATGTGTACTATTAATATTTGGTCGTTTTATGTCCAAAATAACAATTCAATGTTCTTGTGTCATTGGGTTAACCCATTTCCCTATCTATACATTTATGCCTTCAGGCTGCAATTAGGATAACTTACCCTATACAATTAAGTGCACTTAAGCCTCTAGGACATAATTTTTAAAATTTATTTTCTAAAGATTATAGAGTGTATCTGACACTTTATTAATAATTTACAGTTTATAAGGCAGTATTTCTTCTGTGACTTTATTTGATATTTCAACTATTCCATCAAGTGTGGAGAGCGGGTATTGAAATTCCAGTTTTACAGGTGAAAGAACTGCAGCCCACTGACGTGGAATGGTTTGTCCAAGGGCACACAGATGTTGCCACGGGCTGAAAGGGGACTTGGCCACAGCCTCTGTTCCTGCTACGTGAGGCCATAGTTTCGGCTTCTGTGTGTGGGGGCGCTCAGCTGCTTCAGTCGTGTCTAACTCTTTGCGATCCTGTGGACTGTAGCCCTCCAGGCTCCTCTGTCCGTGGGGATTCTCCAGGCAAGAATAGTGGAGTGGGTTGCCATGCCCTCCTCCAGGGGATCTTCCCAACCCCGGGATGGAACCCGTCTCTTATGTTTCCTGCATTGGCAGGCAGATTCTTCACCACTAGCGCCGCCTGGGAAGCCCAGTGGTTTCCAGTTACTGTTAAATGCAGGTGTGCTCTGATGGAGTCTACAAACCCTGCCTCATCATGGTCTGGAGACAGGGTGTATAGAGGACATTGAGAATCACCTGGTCTCATGGGAATACAGGTTAACTGGCCATAGTTAGGGCCACTGGGAGGGATGCCCCTGTGAAGGCTGCAAGCCTTCATCTCAACTTTGCCACAAACACTAGGGTCAGACCCATTATTTTTCAGCTATAAAAACAAACTTTTACAATTTAGGATTCTGTTAAAAAATTAGCCTCTATTTTGACAAAGACCAAGAAATCTGATTGTACTGTATACATGTTATGTTTTGCTGTGTTGGAGGATCTTATTTTGAATGTCAATATACATTAAAATATACTTTTCATCTGAAGAGCTAAAACACGAAACTCTCTTTTATTATTTCTGGTAACAAATCAATATTTGACCTCATCCCTCCCTTTCATTTTCTATGCCATCAGTCATTAAGTCCTGTTGTTTTCCTTTTAAATATTTCTGGTATCTATCCTTTCCCATTTTATTCTCATTGTGACCAACCACTATTCATGTGATTATCATGTCATTTTGAAATACCACACTCACCTATTGACCTAATTAAACTTAAAAGCTTTTGCACAACAAAGGAAACTATAAGCAAGGTGAAAAGACAGCCCTCAGATTGGGAGAAAAATAATAGGAAATGAAGTAACAGACAAAGGATTAATCTCAAAAATATACAAGCAACTCCTCCAGCTCAATCCAGAAAAATAAATGACCCAATCAAAAAATGGGCCAAAGAACTAAACAGACATTTCTCCAAGGAAGACATACA